AAGCAGGACACAAGCACACTTGAAGCTCCTGGCATATCTCGATAATGATTGCCGCCAAGCTCGTCCACTAATGTATTGATATCACCATCCAGTATGAGAAGAGTTTGGGGAAGATGAGCCAGTTTCTGATTATCCAATGCCGTTCGAAGGCGTCTTTGTTTTGCTCGCAGAGTTTTCAGCTCCTCACTACCCAAAGCATATCATCAGATTTGAGTACTTGTGTTAGTAGGCTGTTTATAGGATGAGCATCAACTCACTCAGCATCTCAATGCTGCTCTTTCAGCTCAACCAATCGACCTATCTTTTGCTGTAGGGTTTGCAAATTCTCGGCAACAATTGCACGAAGCTGGCTCTCACGTTGTCTAGTCCACTGATTTATGAGGTACTCCTCAGTATATCTACCATTCTTTCTTCTCAATTCATTCAACTTCTGCACACCCTTGTCGTATAATGTTTTACTTGTTAAGAACCGAGAAGTCAACCAAAAAACTACATGTACAAAATATAGTTATCAGTTTTGAATTGGATGTGTGTAGTCTTATAAGGCAGTACTCACTTGAACGCTTTCGTTTTTCCTCATTGGTGTGACGTGTTCGTAGGTTCAACGCACAAAGCCTGTGAGCTTTGGTTGAATACCTCAATGCACTTACCAAACAAGCCAGGCTGGACCATATCCTTTCAAGCCCTTCTCCGTCTGATAATCCCCAGTCTTTGTTCAATCTTGGATTGTATCTTAGTTGACAAGCCCATTGATGAACATAAGAGTGAAAAACACTCGTCCCAAACTTCAACCGACCAGCCCCTCGTTCTTCAGCAAACAGGTTCCGCTGCTCAGCAGAAAAGGACCAAATAAATCAGTTCGTTGAAGTCTCTTGAATAATACAAATTCACCAACCTTGATAATTCCTTTTTCCATATTACATCCTATGTCATAGAGGATTCCAAACCTCGGCACTTCTTGTTCGGGATGGACTGTACTTTGAAGTATCCAGTCGAGCATTGCAAGGGGGTAATAGCCTCTAGCAAACAAATAAACAGATGGAGTTCATCAGGTAGCTATATCACAAAGTAATTAAAAATTGAAACTAACCGTTCTCCTGATTGAACGATATTGATGAATTTGAGGAGATGGTCGTGACGACACGCCATACCCATCAAACCTGTTTCATCACAGCCACGCCAGGTTTGACGGCCTCGCGAATCATTAGCTGCGGTGTGCTGGGCGCTGCATGGGTTTTGGATGCATCGTGGTATACCATTAATGCTTAATTGGTACATACATGAAGGCTTGATTTTGATAAAGATAGTTCTTACCACCACTTCGTCTACGGCTTGAGAAACCTTTGTACGGTTGTTGGCAGGTTCCATCTTCTTTTTCCAACTCCTGACTTGTTCGGGAGGTAAGAAAAGTGAAGGAAGAACACCCGAATCGCCACGCCATGCTGCACTTGCAGCCAGGTGCCTCCGCTGTTGAAAGTTTGCATCAAGACAGACAATGTGGTCGGGCTCGTCTTCTCTCTTCCCTGCAACCTTTGGACCAAAAAAGCTGGGACAGTTTCCAGCTAGGACTTCTAAAGGTGTCAATTGTAGTGCTGATGTGGCCAATTCGTCTTCCATGCGTAACATTTCTCTGTACGCATCAACTGCTGCAGTGAAGCATTTTCGCAAGTCTCGCGTCTGTAATGGGAGTATGGGACTGTAAATCACATTCAAACCGCAAAAGAAAGATCATCAACCATATGAATAGGCGAAAGTATCACTGACATTATCAGTTCCTGGAACTACGAAGAGTGGATTTCCGGGATCGAGATATTCATCAATGGCTTCGGTAAAAGCGGCCAAACGTATTGTAGAATGTTTCCACAACGTATGATGGAAACGCAGCAATCGCAGCGAAAAGGCCGTTCGTGGATGAAGTGGCGAGCTTCCCATGTAGCCTAAACGGATCAATCGTACTAAATCTGAAGTGCAATCACAAAGCTGAACAGAGAGCTTTATTCGGGCTGTGCACATGATTTTGTGAGTACAGTGTATGTGATGTAGAGCACAAGATATGATGACTCTTACACACAAGATCGATCACATCGACTTTGACCGTTCTCTTCTGCCAATCGCGACACTTGCAAGGCGTGTTCAGGTCTTGATTCCATAATTCTCGATCACACCATTGCCGAGTTTTATTGCTACATGACATGAATGCAACAAACAATTTTGGTAGAACCACTCGCCAGTTCGCTTCCGCTCTAAGGGTTCTCTCTTGATAAGTAACAGAGCGATAGTAGGCCTGAAGATTGATTGGCATGGTGATTGCTTCATCATTGCTTGAAATGACTGGATCGTGACCATCGGCCCTGGCAAAGAATGCGTACCCGTCGTCCTGATGATCAGTGTCATTTTCCGGGTTTGAAGCTGGTTGTGGTGGCTCTTGTTGGTTTGAGAGAGGATTGCTCAATGCTTTGAGAGCTTCCTGTGATGCTTCAGCCTCCTTTGCATTAAGTATTTCTAGTCGTTGGCTTGCAATTCCGGATCCCAACTTCGGCTTTTTTTTTCTCTTAGGTTGGCTGGTGACGTTGACTCCTGGTAAGGGCATCTTAGAGTGGTAAAAAAAGGGATACGAGCCTATGTAAATAAAAGATCGAGTATCAAGGGGTAGACTGATCGAATCAGTCCTAATTTCAAGAGATGAAATCAAGTCTCCGACTTTGGATCACAGACCCTTTCCCAAAAGGGAATCTCATGTGAATGATGTCACGGTAATCTGCACTGCAATTCCTTTTGAAGATTTATCCACAGCAGATGACATGAATCCCAATTGTCTTTGAAGATTTATCCACAGCAGATGAAAGCAACTCCCATTTGTCACTCCTTGATAGACATACTGGAAGATGTTCAATAATATTGGATTTATGTGGGAAAGTGTATCCATGATAAGATGTAAATAACTATATTTCAATAAGGATTAAATGTTCAACAAATAAAAGTCATTAGGTTATGATAGTGGTTGCAACCTAAGCAATTTGATCTGATTGGCCAGTGTAATGAGTATTGGAAGTGTTTAGTTGGGTGAGATGAATTCAAAACATATCAACATGATTTGAGCAAGAAGAACATAAATTATTGTAAAGATGAAGCTATTTTTTTGGAAAGGATGAAGTACAAAAAAATACCTCGAGTTATATGAACAAGTCATGACAAGTGAATCTTGGAAAGGATGAAGTACAAAAAAATACCTTGAGTTATATGAACAAGTCATGACAAGTGAATCAAACATTAACCATCAGGTTCAAAAACCCAAACAACTGAATTATCTGAATGATACTGATAGCTATATTCCATACACAGAAATGACACAAAATGAAGTAAAAATGACTTGACTTATATGAACAAGTCATGATGAGCAAAACAGGATATATTTGCTACATTGTTTTTTATTTAAAAGTTTGGAGATATTCAAATGTTTGGATACTTGATTTTTGTTTTTGAAATGGAATAAAGCAAAACAATGCAATGTGTTTCATTGGCAAAAGTTGAATGAATCAAAGGATATCAACCAGGTGTATTCAGCAATCCATTAAGTTTTGTGGCATGGTACTCAACACTTTCATCAAACAATAAGTAAGGACACTGCTTTAATAAGAAAGGACACTGTTTTTTGAGTACAGCGGTAATATTCTGTTAAATGTTAATTGTGATGTCTCCTGATTGATCTGCTCTTCTGTGACCAATAAAACTAAAATACATAAGCAGGACAATGACAAACATTACCTTAAATAAACAATGGATCTAGATATCAATACAACTGTTTTGAAGAACATATAGTGACTAGTGCAGAACATATTGACATATGTATGATGAGAAGACCACTTTGAGAGATAGTCCTTCCAATATATGTTGGTAGAATTATCCTATGTCCTTCAAAAGACTCAAGTTGCATTTGTGTTTTTCTCATATTAGAAAACACAACAAGCATGATGCCCACCATGTATCTTCCTCTTCAAACTTGTGTCCAGCACCTATCTTCAATATATCATATATGTATGCTCCTTCAGATACACAAACAGCTTTGGTGTGACTCCTCATACCTTGACACAACCATTCCAGAAGTATTTTTTCCTTACTTTGTCCTTTTGGGAAAAAGGTCTTAATTATATATCTTCACCATGTTTGCTATAGTCATGTCAATTTGTTGTCTCAAGACTCATGAATTTTAACCCAGTTTGTGCTCTATGATATTTAATTGATATAATTAGTATTACCCTATCACATTTTTGTCATCTGAAGTGGTTTTCACATATTTGTTTGCTTTTCAAAATATATTTGACATCACTAAGTATTTTTCACTTGCTCTATTGTTTTTCAAAATAGTTATTCAGCAATACCAGAGCATTGATGAATTAATTCTTGTTCAAAATAGGCCTTCATATCAACATTAATACCCCCTTTGAAACTCTTCCACCCACCAAGTTAGGTAGCTCTCATCCAGAGCTCATAATGAGGTGGCTTTACATTATTGTATTTATCCTCCTTACTTCATTCTAAGTACAAAGCTTAGTTGAAAAATAAAACAATTTGGTGTACATAATTCATAGTGGCAAACTAACCTCATGTAAATCCAAGATTCCAATATCTCAAGAGGTCTAATTTTTGGTCATTCAAACATCATGAGATAGTGTCTGAGTATTCACAAGGTCTCAGCAATTTTGAGGAAGACAACTTACCAATAAAATTGTGAGATGTACTTATTCAATGAGGTTATATGACCTTATATACTTGAACTTCTATGAGATATTGAATCAAACATTCAGTGCCCGGCCGCAGCACCGGAAGGGCTATGGGTTACGCGGGGTTTTCCTGGAGATCATTGGACATGGAATATTTAAATCAAAATTAAATCAAAATTGATAAATCATCAACACCTATTGTTACTTCATCGACTTCAACTTAACTTTTTCTCACCATCTTTTCTTCATCAACTTCAACTTTGATTTTGCTCACCTAAAATGGTTGAAACTAGATCCAAACAACCCGAATCTACTCAGGCCAACCCTGCCGCCAAAAGCAAGTCCAAAACCAAAGGTTCATCCAAGAAGCGTCAACCCCAACCTCCTTCTGGACGTAAAAAACAAAAGCAACAATTAGTGGAAGATGATGCTGATGAGAGTTTCCATATCGATTCTAATGATGTCAATAATCAACCTAGGGATGAGCCCAACCTCACTTGTCGCGAAGAAGCAGAAGAAGATGAATCAGCTCCACCTGCGGTTTTTCTCTCTCGCTTTCCTGGACTCGAGCTAGGCGACTTTGAAAAGCAATTAGATGATTGGACACTGGTTTCACTTCGCCAGGCTATTTCCAAACAAGCATCAAAAAGAAGTAAAGCACCTGGCGAGATTCAATTGTTGGTTCGTATTCGTCTCGAGTATGAAAAAAGGATGCTCATGGCCGCACTCATGGGTGCAGTTCCCAAGGTGGTGATCTGGAATCTTGTGTATGTCATGGTTTCATTGATATCTTCTGATTATAATGCTCAGCTTCATTTCTTTTGGTTGATAATCTAAAAGTGGCAAAGGCTCAAAGCAGGGTCATGCAAATCCATGGATACGCTTTCTAGCATTTGGCCTTCCAGCATTAGCCGAAAAAGGTATACAATTCTTTTTATGTTTGTCATCTTTTGTTGAATATGTCACTAATTAGATCTTCTAGTCCCCGAGTCGGGTGATAGTGAAGGTTGGACTCGACGAAACAAGAAAGTTTCTGACTTATGGAAAAAACTTAGCAAAGACGAGAAGGACGTCTTTCGAGACCCTTACTTCTTTGCACTGGCCAAATTACCCAACCTTTCTACTCTACCAATGGACATCACCAAGCCGGCCGAAGACGGAGGAGATACAAGCCTTCAGCACCTCAATGAATCGATGCCTGCTCCAACTGTTCACAAATTGACAGATGAACAAAAAACAAAGTATATGCCGTTGTTTGAAAAGCTGGTCGATGTCGAGAAGCTGCACCTGTGTCACGGAAAGCCCAGTCCCTCAACTCCAGTCGCTACTATTCAACAAAAGTCTTTAGTAGAGCTACGAAAAGCCCATCACACTGTAAGAAGCATTTGTTTCCATCTGGATTTCTTGCCTATATCTATTGTCACATTGACTACATATACTTGATGCTTACGTTGTTTATATAGTTTGCTGTCACTGCAAACATTATTCGGCTTCCCCAAGTGGGCAGGAAAAAATGATTGGGAGTATGATTTGTCATAAAATGATCTATCACTCCACACCTAAGCCAGAACACACACACTACATATGTGCAACAGGCTCAGTGAATAGGTGGTTATCATGTACATACAGTTCTGCTCAGTTATCTGCTCATCAGCGTAAGCTATTCATATGTAATACATGCTGTAACTTTTTTCAGATTGACTACATACACCCACCCAGTGTTTTGGTGTGATCTCATCAACTCAACTGCATGTAACACCCTTTCTGTTACTATGAAACAGCTTCAGTAATATTGCCTGAGCAGCTACAGAATTCTATGTAGTGAATTTTTGCAACAATTTTTTCAAGGTCAAAAAAGTTTCATGTGGTATAACATGTGATTTATTCATTCTGATGGGCAAAAAACTGAGCAGACCTGTATGTACATGATAGATAACTATCTATTTAGCTTGCTGCACATATGTAGTGTGGGTGTTATGTCTCAGGTGTGCAGTATTGGATCCTTTTATGACAAACTGTACTATTAATCATTTCCCTCTTCCAACTTGGGGAAGTTGAATGATGTTCACAGTGCTGTTGTGTGTCAGCGGTACCAGGTCACTTACTATTTGGCTGGAGTTAGCTGTGGAAGCACTGAAGGCTGGACACAGGTATTTTCAAACAACCTGTCATTTGCTAAATGGGCATCGGACAACATCAAAGTTCCGCAGACTTTGGCTTCATACATACATGGTCAGTCCGCTGCAAAAGTAGTCGAAGCAAGCAAGCCCCCTCAGCAACCTAGCGATGCACGCAGAACGCAGCTTGGTAAGGAACTCAACAGTTTAGTTGGTCAGTCATCACTTAGACTTCATTAAGGACCAATAGTAATGTTGACAATCATTTCGTGATAGATGCTGTATATAAAGGGCACAAGTTTCCAAAGGTTCCAGACCCTGTAGAGGATATCAAGGATAAGGGATGGCCAATTCGGATCGTACAAAAGCCAGGAAGTTTGTTATCGGAAGATGAACTCAAGATTGGACATCGTTCGGCAAGGGATGCGATAGTGAAGAACTGGCTGAAGGATATTGCAAATGGACTCTATATCATTGAAGCTATACCAGAAAGCGAGAGACCAAACACAAATCAAGCACAAAGACGTCCTCAAAAGTCAAAAACGAAAGGTTCGTCCAAACAAACCCGTCCGCGGGCCAACTCTGGTCCTCTGTCCTCTGTAGTCGAAGATGGAACAAGTACGTGATTTTCACCCTTCGGCTTCAAAATCTCACTCAAGTGTTAACCAATCGTTCAATAGGAAACCGGAATCAACGCATCAACTCCGAAAACAATGAAGATGACATTACTCAGAACACTCAATCTATTCAAAACACTAACCACTCACAGCAATCTCAGCTTGAGAATCAGGACAGCACTCGATCAAATAATACCACGAGTAACTCTGGACAGAACAAGTCACATTGCAATGAACATAATTCAGATCACGCTCAAAACCCAGGACAAATGAAACGTTGGCTTCAAGCTTTGGCTTTGGGTGATTCAGACAATGAAGATGAGTCTTTGGGTAAAGACGATCATGTGCAGAAGAAAAAGAGGTCAAACAAATCTGATGAAGAACTTGATGACGACTCTGACTTGTTTCCAGAGTTAGATGTGTAACTGTAGATGGGTAAATTCAATTAGGCATATGATCACTTCTCTATATCTTCGCCTAGATATAATACCTTTCGTTCATCTTCCATCTTCCTACATATGCTGTCGCAGGTGCTTGTAACTTTTTTCTAATGGCTCTCAAATGATGTTTGCCTTGTCTATAACTCCATTGATTAACGTATCAAGTTTGATTAATTGTTTATCTTAAATATTTCATCTTATAATATTGTTTTCCGTAAAAACCAACCCTTTTATTGACCCCTTCAATCAAATCACAAAAGACCATCTTATATGTATTTACAGAGATTGAAATTTCAGATGAATCGTTTTGGCTTTTTTTCAAACAATTGGCAGTACGGTCTCATATGATATGTACGAAGAGCATGAAGGGATTGTTTTTCCCGATCTTTCAAGGTATCAACCTTACCAGTCAATTTGAGGTAAAGTCTATTGTTGTTCAAAAACAAGTAGCTGAGATTGAGTGATTAATCTCATTAGCAAAAGCTTTAATTGCGTTTGGAGAGCAAAGTTGTCCTACATTCTATGTACATTTATCACAAGCTGAAGTTTGACAGGAAACTTTTGTTGGTTGTGTTGGATCGGTCTTCTGGCTAATGATGTTATAGCGAGAGGTGATGAATGCCGAGTGATCCTTTGTTTGGTGTGTTCGTGGAATGGTTGTGTTTGGACTTGTAGAAGTTTGGGCTCGAAGGAGTCTTCAGAGCGCTCTGAGGAGTCTTCAGCGCGCTCTGAGTAGTCTTCAGCGCGCTCTGAGTTGTCTTCAGAGCGCTCTGGGGGGGTCCTCAGAGCTCTCTGGTGACTTGGAAAAAAAAGTCAGTACTGGAGGCGGGCCGGGCAGGCTGTCGGTGGGCGGTGTTTCTATACGCAGTGAGCGGCGGCCCCACGCAGGTCAGTGGGGGGGCGCCTGCGTGGCGCAAAATATGCGCCCATCGGCGGCCGACTAGGCAGCGATGATCCGAGCGCCAGGCGCTGAAAATGTTGCCGGCGGGCGGCCTGCAAGGTTGCACGACTGCCGTGGGGCAGTCAATGATTGTCAGTCCTGGAGCTGGATAGAGCCCAGGCAGGCAGGCAGGCAGGCAGGTGCGCGAACATCAATGGAATCAAAAATACAAGTTATGACACACACAGAAAGCCTTGTTTTTCAGGGTTACATTTCGCAGGAGGATGAATAAGATCAGAAAACAAAACATTTTGTAACTACAGGCTAAATCGAACGTTGAACAGAGTATCAAGATAAAACATTTTGTAACTACAGGGTCAATCCAACGTTAACAAACTCAAGATAGACTGGGGAGACTTCGAGATGTGTCGTGTGTTTCATTGAACAACAGCTGGTTGGGGCTCCATGGTGTTCATCTCCACCTCGATTTCCTCATCGCTGGGCAAAGCAAAAGTAACATTCGCAGGAATGTTGATGAAGCAAATGTTCGATTTGAACATTGCACAATCTTGGTCGTAGACAAGTTTATAGAATCTGATTGATTGAAACAAAAACAAAAAGTCAGACAATCAAACTCACAAACCGTTACGAAGAGTAACCATGAGACTTACGCCGTAGTGTACAGTGGCCCACGTTCATGCAACCTACGGAGGTGTAGGTCAACACGAGCCCAAATATTGCCACCACCGCGCACAACTCGCATGGCTTCGCGACGCTGATAACCAAACAATATCAGCGTGAGATTAGTATCTGTACCACTGATACTATGAATAGATGAATACAAGAGAAAAGGGCAACTCACAAGATATGCAACACGAAGACGTTGAGCCCAAGGGGTTTTCTCCCACAGAGGGTCTACGTCCAGTTTGTCTGGGTTCGTATTAAATTGATTGGCAATCTATAAAGGTAATACACACTCAATCTTTGACAAGGGTATGTAGAGGAAGAGAGGTGGGTTTACACGATGGACAAGCTTTTTGATGTTAGGGACAGGTGCCGTAATGGGACTCGGGTCGCGTGGGTTCCGAATATTGGTCAAAACCTGCGTCAAGAGTATAGGGTAAGCTATAAGAAAAGAAAAATAGAAGCAGAAAAGAATTGAGAAGACAACTAAAGAACGGACCAAAAGATGCATTTTCTCTCGCGCATGATTTCCAGCATCCTTGACCAATTTATTGTAATTCTTACCAGCGGGGACATCTTGGAAACCGTTAATGGTAGGGGGGAGGTGCTGAACCACCCATTGGCCACCGATGGCCAGAACTTTTTGCTGTGCAACAGGCCAATTCATGACGTAAGACATAAAATTCAATGGGTCTTGAATCATCACAACACACACCTTGATACTGTTAAAAAGCGATCTTTGTAACACATTACCATCTGCCTGGATGGCAGTATAAGCCTCGAGGCCAGCTTCTGTCACCAGTGCATATGCCACCTGATAAACTCGCTCCTATGATGTGCAAAAAAGGGTTGAGAGAACAAAATGTTACAATACATCAAAGCCAATCAAATCATACGGTAGAGTCACAGCCACATCAGAGACGGGAAAGGGGAGTATATGAACAATCACTGACCTTCAAAGCGGTCGAAACTGTCCAAGGGGCAGGCGCTGCGGGTGCAGTGGCCACTAGGTTGGACCCAGGCGCCGCAGAGGTCCCTGCCGACTGGGTGGCAGCAGTCAACTGAGCCACCGTGGCAGCAAGATGATCGACCTTGTTGGACAAGGACAATACTTGTTGGCCGGAGGATAAGGAGGCCACCGTGTCTATGACCTCGTCCATCTTGTTTGACAAGTCATCGATCTTGTTGGACAAGAGCGAGGTGGCCTGCACCACTTGATCGATCCGGGTGGACATGATCTCGACTTGGGAGACCTTGGTCAACAAGTTCCCAATCTCTTGCAAAATCTTTTCAAGGATCGGGTTCGTCTGGAAGAATTCGAGCAAGTGTCAGTGTACAAATTGGGTCCCCAATGATTCTGCTTCGACTCACCTCAGTACGCGCCGCTTCACGTCGAAACAAAACAGAACTGCCTCCTCCCATGGTATCAGTGAATACATCAGGTGAGCTATCACCACCTATTCCAAGAAGCAAAGAATGTCAGCTATGAAGACAACAATTCGAGATAGAAGTGCATATCTCACCTTGCTCGCCCCGCGCGTTGTGATGATTGTTAAGGCCTCGCAAAGACGATGACCCTTCGGTTTGGTGCAGCAAGTTGTCTAGGGAGGAAGTGGTCAATGGTGAACAAAGGTTTCCAAACGAAAAGATGAATTGTTCTCACTCAGTGATGGAGTCGATTGATCATAAGGGTGGAAACGAGTGTTTTGAGAAGACATTTTTAGACTGATTTTGAGCAAGTGCAACGAGCAAGCGAAAAGTCTTTTGTTGAAAGAAAGTGTGAGTGTGAGCAAATGTTTGAAAATGGCGATAAAAAACGGTTGAAGGAACGAGAGGCCGACAACGTCTCGGCGAGGGTGCCTTTTGAGTCTGTCATGTTGAACCCAGGGGCTTGACTCAGGGGCTCCATGCAGCGCGTAAACGCGAGGCTTCTCGCGACTCACCAGGGGTACGAGACTCTGACCAATTAGAGCTCGTCATTCAAATCCAAGCGCGTTCAGTGCGGAACGCATGGAAAGAACCTGCTCCGTTTCACGTGTCGCGCACCAAAAAGCTTCCAGCGAGTCTTTTGAAGACTTCAAAGGGTTGATGACATGGAAAGGCAGGGACTTCCCTTTCATTGCTGCGCATCACATCAGAGAACAGGGAACGAAACATCATTCCAATTGATCCACCTCCTCGAATTCATCCAAAGACTCCAATTCATCAAACTCCGCCGAACTTTCCGAACGGTCACTCTCCTCTCTGCCCTCTTGCCCTTTTTCCTTCCCTTTTCCCCGTGCTTTCCCTTTGCCCTTGCCTTTGTCTCTACCTTTTGCCTTAACGTTACCTTGAGCAGTTGTTTTTCTTTTTCGTGTTTGGACGGGAACGGCGTTCCATACCTTCAAACCTTTGTCAACGGTTTGTGTCCATTCGTTTGGGGTGATTTGGCGAGTAGTCATGCACGCAACAGAACGGTGAACTTCGGCGTAATATTGACTGGCACTGTTCAGGATGAAAGTGTTGGTGGGCTCGTGTGCGACATCACCTATCTTGATGGTGGTTTCCTTCCGCTCGACCCGCTGGGTTTGCCCAAGGGAAACTCGGCAAGATGCCCCATGACAATCATGTTGAACGTTTAGGATGCAATGGATGTCCTGGTGACCAAGAGCAATAAATCACTTAAGAGAACGAGGTATTCTGAGTTGTGGAAGGTAACTTCACTGCCAGCATAGATGCCTCGGGTTGCGGAATCCGAGGCATCATCGGAGGTAAAACCTCAGACAAGGTCTGTCCAAGGTTTTTGTCCGAGGTAATCTTCTGCACTGGGAATTGCCTCGGATCAAAACCTCAGACAGTTTCTGTCGGAGGTTGGTGATCCGATAATACCTCGGATTGAAAAATCCGAGGTAAATATGTTGGCGGTGCTTACAGACACTTTGACCCATCGCGACTCATCCAAAAGAATTATTTCCTGCATGCCGTAATAAGGGTTGACCTCACCTCGGCGCGTGGACTGAAGAAATACCATTGCTCTTGCCGCACGTTCGCCATCGGTGTGCCAGATTGCAGAAACTCGAGCAAGTTCACACTGATTGGTAACCTAGTTCGGGCAGAGCAGAGATTTCAGTGGAATAAATGATTAGAAGAAACGTGAATACTGACCTTCACAAAGTCATTCACTTCGACCTTCTGTCCATTTAGCAAGGTCACGCTGAGTATTTCCTGCCATGATCCATCAGGATCGTGGGTCAACAAGAATCGAGGTGTATCTGACTGCTCTTGCACCCGCGCTAAGATACGCACAAGTCAATTGAAAGCATTTGTAACAAAAGAATTGTCAAAACTTACTTCCAGCTAGAAACACGCGCGCTCGGTTGCTTTGGGGGTCGAGTCCCATGGCTTGAGACAATTCCGGCATTGTTTGCAAAAGATTTTGGACCCTTGGTCCAGCAGTACAGCGACCTTCAAATTCTTTGTTGACGAAAGATGTTCCGGAAACAAGCATGCGTATCATTTGATAACTGTTGAAACTTTCAGCTATATCTCGTCCAGGACTTAGACGGTTAGAATGAACGGAAGCGGCTCGTAATACCCCGTTAAAAGATTCGAATTTCTGTGTCATGTATAAGGGTGCCGGACCTAATGATTTGATGGAATCTTTCAAGTGGGTCAGCATATGAAATTTGGGTTTATTTACCCATTGAGCGGAATCCTTGACAATTTCGTTGAGGAACATTTGGATTGCACAGTCCAAATCCCGCATGTAATCTCGAGCGCAAGTGATTTCATTTTGGAAAATGTAAGAACTTAGCAAGCACAACAACGTCCAGAGGTGGCGTCTCCCGGTTGGAATCAAATCAAACATGACGAAAGGAATTGACTGGAGAATTGTTTGGAAATCTTTGCCTACTAAGCTGGAATAGTATTGTATCAACGTGTTGGGCTGAATCGGGGGGATGTTCAAACCCTTTGTATTGAAAGCACGCCAGCGCCCTGTTAAGTCGAGGTGGAGCTTGCTTCCAACCTTCACAAGTCCGAGGGACTTCATGGTATCGTGGAACAAGTACTTGGCGATCCCAAGGAGAACAACATGCAACGTCTCCACCGGGGTATCAGAATGACCATCAAATCCTAAAAACAGAGCCCATAATCAGCGTGTGTAAGATTTATTCAAACCAACCAAACGATACCTTTTAGTCGCAACATGGGGTTGAACAAGTGGTCACCCATTTGGTCATTCAATTGCTCAGTAAAGCGCTCAACATCGGGTTGGCTGAGACTATCGTAGGCAGTGTTGATTTTCTTCTTAAAATAATCCATTACAGAGTCTCGAAGTCCATATGTTCGTTCCTTTTCGTCGACTGCCGCTCGAGTGTTGGGCAACTGAGCAAGTGCCCAGATTTCGTGAGTCCTCGCTCGTGTTGTGTCCCAAACACGTTTGGGCGCCGGAGACTAATGGGAATTAACTGTCAGCTTGCGGGAATAATTCCCAGCTCTTTATTCTTCTTACATACCTGCTCGCCGGTGGCATTAATGCCGATGAAAGCCGCGACATAGCGTTCAGTCTTCTTTTCAACCATCCGATTTACTTGTAAATCACAAATGCGGCAAGGAGTCAATGTGTTAGCTGGGTTTGTCGTATTGGTGATTTCCGCATGCATAGGGCCATCGCCCAGGTGGCATAAGACCACCACCATCGCGAGAACTTCATTACCTGTGGTGTGATCGTAAGCAAAGAAGCCATTTGTGCTGCTGTCACTGAGAACGTTGAAAAATGTCAACTTTCTTTGTACTAAATCGACAAAAAGGCACGAGAGACATACTTAACGTCATCCACGACCTCGTCCAACAATTCCAGCGCCGACGCGACGTTCGAAGTCGCCAAGAAGTGTATATTGTACTCTTGATTGGTCATTTTAGGCGGTAAACCGGATAACGTAAAAAAGACGCTCATGTGCTTGTTCCATTTCTTGGAAACATTGCCGGAGGTGTCATCAGAGTATAACATGATCGGGATATGCTTGATGATACGACCTTGAGCTCGTGCGCGCCAAGGGTTTTCCATAGGCAAAAGGCAAAATCCGCCAGTTGTTATTTCTTCTGGATGGACCCATTTCAAAGGAGGTGTCAGTTGTAATGCAAATGATATTTGGAATCAAATTGGAGAGGCACTTACGATGAATACATGGGCCACAAGCGTCTTTGAGGCAAAATCGTACATCTTCATCTTCATCTAACCAGACCGTGTCACACGTTCTCCAAAATTCAGTCAGAGGGACCGTTAAGAAAACATTGGAATCAAAGGGCGGCTCTTCTGGTATAATGATTTGGAGCACATTTGCATTGTCTCGGTTCGGGATCACGGTGGCTGGAAAGCATTTGGACTTGACTATTCCCCCTTGTTGATAAAAAAACGCTGGAACAACGAGTTGATGTGAGAATAATTGTACCGGCTCGTATATATAATAATGCTGGTGGTTGAAGAGTACCATTTGTACTCGAAGGTCCATCGAGAATCCCTCACGCCACTTTTGACTCTGGGACAGCCGGTTGATTGAGTCGTTTGTGTCGGCAGGTAATTTGGGTAGAACAACAAGATTGGGGCTAATCAACGGATTGGCCAGCTCCTATGGACAAATGGACAGTCAGGCCAAGACGACGAGGAAAGAGAAAATGAGGGGAAGGGGAGACGTTACTCAACCACTTACGTTTGTAATGATTGTCTGAACCTTCAAGCCAAACAGAGGCGTGCCTGAAGGGCTAGTGCGCTCTGAGACACACAGTCCTAGTTGTTTCTTAAGTCGTTTGGTCAAAGCACGCAAAGCCCCCCATTCGGGAAGACGAACATCGCAAATGAGCAAAATCGACCGGATCCGATGGTATTGGCTACGTGAGATGATATTACGTGTCGATCCAATAATCAATAATGCCACGACATGCTGAAAAGAAACTAATGTGTCAGTCACAATGAAGCGCATAATTGTTTTTGGACAAACTCACCTCCTTCCTCTTGAAGGGGTACCAATCATTCGACTCCTGAATCTGAGAAGAGCGTAAGTCTGCCTCCAGTGCGGCCTCATCCAAAAGTTTGTCTTCTTCCGCGTCGTCCCACACGTTTAGGTCCATCGCCTTGATGGCTTCGGCAAGCTGGTTTGAATCAATCTCGAGGTCTGACTCTTCTGAGTTGCTGGCTTGGTGTTTCTCCGCTTCGAGAATTTCGAGAGCTCGGATCAAGGACAGAGGGGAAGGCGGCCGTTCCGAGGCATCTGATCGAGGAGCGGCGTTGTCTAGTTCGATGAAGGTATGAGGCGGTGGTTGGTTGTGCGGTGTGTTGACATTTTGGTCTTCAAGGCCAGTCAGCATGACGTTTTGCCCGGCATTCAGAACGTCAAAGCGCGCAGCTTTATCGAGGTGGCTCGCAGTTTTCATATGTGACGAGTATGATGCCATCGGACGCTTGCCACAAACCAAACACGTGAAGAGTGGGGCAGATGGGTCCGACGACAGAGATTGAAAAACTATTACAAAGGAATACAATTGTCAGACGAGAGCAGATATTCAATACGGAGACGGAGGAGAGTAAGGTAAGGACAGGCAAAGGGAATCGTACAGCGATCATGTATTATGCCCGCCATTGCGAGAGCCTTGGTGGATTTGGTGTGACTTTGAGCTGGAAGGGGGTGTTGTGTGTGAGTTGATTGAGGAGTGGTGTGTTCTTGAATTTGAGATGTGCTCT